GGTCTTCGTTTCCTCCTCCAAAATACGGGGGTCCTTGTGAGGCTGGGGCGATTCCTGGCAGGAACTAGGCTAGCCTAGAAGGGGAGAAGGCCGAGGTCTGCAGCTCTGAGAAACGGAGGTGAGGCTCGCTCCAGGCAGTGTCGGTCTGTCCGTCTCCCCCGCCCCCCCCACCCCCGTCTTCGCCGTGATGGAGGAGCGGGAGGGAAGATTGGGTCGTCACCCTCCTTCCTGGCTCTAAGCTGGGTTTCCTCCTCGGGGGCTGCTCGGGCCAGAGCTGCTGATGGAAACCAGCTGCGGGAGGCGCCGGGACTCGGCGCACGCCCAGGCCCCTCCTCGGCGCCGACAGACCCCGCTCCGGGGGGAGCGCCCGGGCTCCCTCCCCCTTTCCGCAGCCCGGCCCGGGCCCTGGCACGTCCGGCGCGCCTGATGCTTTCCAGATGTGGCCCGGTTCCCCTCCCCCGCCCGGCCCCGCAGCTCTGCAGGGCAGAGGGGTGGGCGCCAGCGTCCGATACTCCTTCTATCAAATGGCTCCGAGGGACCCGCTGTGTCCCCTCCTCGCCCGATCGCTTCTTGTCCAGACGGACAAACGGAATCGGAGTAGACTGCGGACGAAACGCTGCTCCCAGAACCTCCAACGCTTCCCACGGCTCCAGCCCCGGCCCCACCCGCAGCCTGCGGTGGCCCCTTGGGGAAAAGGCAGGACCCGCCCCTCAGAGCACGCCCCACCGGGTCACGCCCCCACCGGGCCACGCCCCGAGACCTCTAGTCCGGACACGCCCCTCTGAAGCCCCGCCCCGGCCCCGCCCCGGGACACGCCTGTGCAGGCCCCGTGGGGACGCGCTCTGCATGTCACTGTCTCTGGCCGTCACTGTCCCTGCCTCGCTACTGTCTGTGACTTTCCTGTGCTCCCTCTCTGTGTACCCTGTCTCTGTCTCTCGTGTCCCTGTCTCTCTGTAGTCCTTGCCCGATCTCTGTCTCTATTAGTCCCTAGGTCTCTGCTTTCTCAGTCTCGTTCTCTGTGGCCCTGTCTCTCCCTGCGTCTCCCTAGGGCTCCGTGTCCCTGTCTTCCTCTGGTCCCGAATTTCCGTCTCCATCTCCGCGGGCCGCGCGCCGTCTGCCCTCGCAGGTCTACGTCTGTGCTGTGCCGTGCCGCGGGCGCCCCCGTGTGGCCGTCGGGGGCCGTCGGGAGACGCCAGAAGGCTGAGAGCGAGCGCGTGGACGAGCTGGCCCGGCGTGACGCGGGGAGGTGGTGCGAGTGCGTACTGCAGAGAGAGGATGGCCGACACGTGAGGCCTTGAGCCTGTGTCCCCGCGAGACGGTGTGTGACACGGGGAGTCCTGAGCGTGTGCCCCCGTGAGACGGTGTGTGACACGGGAGACGTCTGAGTGTGTGCCCCGTGAGACGGTGTGTGACACGGGGAGTCCTGAGCGTGTGCCCCCGTGAGACGGTGTGTGACACAGGGAGTCCTGAGCGTGTGCCCCCATGAGACGGTGTGTGACACAGGAGCCGTCTGAGTGTGTGCCCCGTGAGACGGTTGCCCCCGTGAGACGGTGTGTGACGTGGGGAGGCCTGTGAGTGTGTGTCCCCGTGAGACAGTGTGTGACACGGGGAGTCCTGAGCGTGTGCCCCCATGAGACGGTGTGTGACACGGGAGACGTCTGAGTGTGTGCCCCTTGAAATGGTGTGTGACATGGGGAGTCCTGAGTGTGTGCCCCGTGAGACGGTGTGTGACACGGGGAGTCCTGAGCGTGTGCCCCCATGAGACGGTGTGTGACACGGGAGACGTCTGAGTGTGTGCCCCTTGAGATGGTGTGTGACACGGGAGACGTCTGAGCGTGTGCCCCCGTGAGACGGTGTGTGACACGGGGAGTCCTGAGCATGTGTCCCCACGAGACGGTGTGTGACGTGGGGAGGCCTGTGAGTGTGTGCCCCCGTGAGACGGTGTGTGACACGGGGAGTCCTGAGCGTGTGCCCCCGTGAGATGGTGTGTGACACGGGGAGTCCAGAGTGTGTGCCCCCGTGAGACGGTGTGTGACACCGTGAGGGTGGCTGTGCTCTGACACCGTGAGATTTTCTGTGCTACTGAGGGGTGGCAGGGAACTGGGCATGAGGGGACACTCCCGGCAGCCTGTGCCACACTGGGTGAGCACACAGGGCAGTGAGACTCCGTGCCAGGAGTGTGTGCGCTGCGTGCCACATGGCGAGGACATGAGCGCCACGTGTGTCACACAAGCAGACTGTGTGAGAGGTGAGACTGATGCGTGAGAGGCACAGGGTGCTGCATGTGACAGACTGTGAGTGTGACACTCCGTGTCAGCCATCCTGGTGTGCTGTGGGAAACCGACGCCCGCTCGCCTGCGATCCTGGAAGCATGACAGTGTCAAGTGTGCAGCTGTGTGGGCACTCAGGTGAAAGCGTGACCCTGCGTGTGCACGTGTGTGCTGCCGGAAGACTGCCCTGTGAGGACGAAGGACACCGCGGGTGGGGCGACAGTCAGTGGTACAGCCTGCGACGCTAGCACACACGCTCACGCGTCTCTCACACACACGTGGGCTGTGTGAGGGCTCTGTGACACTGATCCCGCGTGGGTGACTCCAAGAGTGTGTGTAGGGGTTTCCGACAGGGACACACCGTGTGTGGCTCTGTGTGGAGGGAAAGTGTTAGGTGTGTGACACCAGGCGATCGTGTAAGAATCTGTGCAACTCTACGTAGGTGTCACTGGATGGGTGACTTCCTGTACAACCCTACACACACTGCACGAGAGTGCTTGAGTAAGAGGTTGGACAGCTAATTGTGTGTCATCGTGTGAGACACTGAGGAAGTGTGTGAGAACGCGATAGGGTGTGAGACAGAGGTTTAAATTACATGCGAAGGGCTGGCAGATGGTGGGGTGATTAAGGGCTGACTGTGGTTCGAGTCCTGGACCTGGAGGCTTGCTTTCTCACTTTCCCTCTCTCTCGCGTGTTCACTCTGTCCCTCTCTGGTCGAATTAAAACAAATATATAAATAAATACAATTAAATAAAGTAATTCTTTTTTTATGATTTTTCTTTTTTTAGATTTATTTAATTCCACTTGTTATTATTAATTGGGTTTTTTTTTTTTTAGAGGTTTTTGCTATAGGGTGTGTGCACTTGCCAGAAAGACAGAGAGAGACAGACAGAAAGTGAGAAGTCACCCCCCAAGGGGGATGGCCACGCTGCAATCCCTTCTCCTTCATTCTCCGCTCGGGCTCTTGGGCACGCATGCACACATGTCCGGCGTGAGTTTAAGCCACCAAGTCCAGGACTTGAACTGCAGTTGACTACATGGGAGTCTAGCGATATAGCCATTACGCCAACTGCTGGTCCCTATTATTAATCTTTTAAAGAATTATTTTTTAAAAGTGAATTATTTAATTTAATTCATTTATTATTACTTTTCAGTTTAACCAGAGAGAGTGAGGGAAAGCGAGTAAGCAAGCCGCCAGGTCTGGTACTCAAACTGTAGTGGGCCATATGGGAGTCCAGTGCCTTATCCACCATGCCACCTGCTGGCTTCCTAAATAATTATTTTTATGGGGACCAGCAGTTAGCGTAATGGCTATGTCGCTGGACTCCCATGTAGTCGACCGCGGTTCGAGTCCCAGACCCAGTGGCTTAAACTCACGCCGGGTGCGTGTGCATGCGTGCCCAAGGTCCCGAGAGGAGAATGGAGGAGAAGGGATTGTGGAGTGGCCATCCCCCCTTGGGGGTGATTTCCTGCTTTCTGTCTCTATGTCTCTGTCTGTCTGGCGAGTGCACGCACCCTATAGCAAAAACCTCTCCAAAAAAAAAAGAAAAAAAATAATTATTTTTTAAAATTTATTTATTTATTTTAATTTGACCAGGGTGGGACAGAGAGTGAGAGAAACTGAGAAAGGTAAGTCACCAGGTCTGCAACCCCAACAATGGAGAGTCCAGTGCCCTCGACCACCACGCCACCTGTCGGCCCCACGTTATTATTCTTTTTCAATTTGACCAGAGAAAGACAGAGAGAGAAAGGGAAAGTGGGAAGTCAATCCACCAGGTCCAGGACTCGAACTATGTATGGTTGGCCATGTGGGAATCTAGCGCCATTAACCACCACGCCACCTGTCGGCCCCAATAAAGTAATTCTTGAAAAATAAATAAATAAACCACATGCCAATGTGTCTGACTTTGTTTTCTTTTTAGGTTTTTGCCATAGGGCATGTGTGCTCGCTGGAGAGAGACGGAAAGCAAGAAATCACCCCTCGGGGGGATGGCCACGCTGCAATTTCTTCTCCATTCTCCTCTAGGGGTTTTGGTCATGCATGCACATGAACCGGCATGATTTTTAAGCCACCGGGTCTAGGACTCAAACCACGTAGTTGGCCAAGTGGGATCCAGTGCCTTAACCACCATGCCACCTGCCAGCCCATGTGTGACATTTTGAGAGACTATGACTCTGACACCTGCTGGTCCATTGACACTGAGATGGCTTCTGCAGTGGCATGAGGGCCCGGGGGCGGCATGCCACACGGTGAGGTGGGCAGACTGGGCCCCACTGAGACCAGTTGAGGCTGTGTGCCGAGCACAGTGGATCAGGAGCCGCAGACGGTGATACCGCGTGACACAGAGCTAACGTGCCTCTCTGTGAGGGACTGTGTCACGCAGAGGGTCATCACAGCGTGAGCGTGTGGGGCACACAGGAGAGGTTCGCGTGACTGTAGATAAATGCGACAGGGGACAGAGCACACCTTGAGACGCTGTCATTCCCAGTGAGTGCGAGAGATCCAGAGGAGAGACACACAGAGGGCAGGAGCGACAAGACACACAGACAGAAACAAAGAGGGGGACGGAGAGACGCGGGCACCTAGAGACAGACTCAGGGCAGGGGGAGGTGGGGATGGTGGCAGCGAGGAGGAGGGTCCTCAGGGGCTGCGCCCCGGGGGAGGGGGCGGGGCAGGGCTGGAGGTGGGGGACCCAGACCCTGCCTCCCAGCCGCCTCCACAGACGCCATCCCAGCCTGGAGCTGCAACAGGTAGGAGGCTCCGGTCCTGGTCCCCGAAGCCCTCGGTAGCCGCCGTCTGTCGTCTGTCGCCTGGGAGTGAGTGAGGAGTGAGTGAAAGACTACCTGTGCGTCTGTGCCCCTGGCTCTCCTCTGCTCCTCCATTTGCCCCCCTCTCCCTTCCTCGCTCCATCGCTCTCCCAGCCCCTCTACCGGTCTCTCTGCTCAGTCCTTCCCTCCCTGTCCCTCGGTGTCCCCTCTGTGTCCCCTTTCCCGCTCTGTGCCTCGTTTCTCTCGATTACTCCCTTCGATCACTCTGTCCCTTCTTCTACCTCCCCGCTGATCCCCCCGCACCTCACCGCTCCCCGTCTGTCCCCATCCCTGCCCAGTCTCCCTGTCACTTCTCGCCCTCTCCGTCC